AGCTGGTATTCTTTTTCCTTTGGATTTGATTATGGGTATTCGTTTGGACAAAGAAGATGAACTTCAAGGACTCGATATAGCCGGTAAAACTTAACCTTTTTATTTGTAGAAAAGAAAAGAAAATGTATTTTATTTTAGCGCATGGTGAAAGTTGGGAAATAAACGCATCACGAGCTGTTTGTGATCTTGTGAAAAAAGTATTACAAGAACAAGGCACTACAAGAGAAGGAGCTGAGGATACTGGAACCTTCGAATTACATTATAAACCTAAAAATCCAAGTAAAAAATCATTAAAAATTCCTCTGTTTAAACGAAAAAAGTCACGCCATTCTCAACTTGATACTAATCCAGTAAATAATAATCAACTACAATATAATCATAACGAAACAATGTTTAATGACGATGATATCAATACACAATCAACAAATACAAATATTATTCGCTTTTAAATACATTTGCGCGTTGTTGTATTTAATATTGTAATCAATAATTTTCTTTTTATTTTTTATTTCATATCAAAACTACTGTAAGAGAAAGAGTACATAAGTAAAAATTCAAAATGTTTGCATATCATTGCTAAATATTATTTTTTGAATACAAATTTTTTTTCTTTGTATCATGTTTGTAACATACGCATGTTTAATAAAGATCATGTACAGATCTTTAACAATTAATTATTTATATGAATTTGATGAAGCTATGAAGCGAGAGCAAAAGTAAAATAAATTGTAAAGTTTATCATTCATTTAATAATTGTTAAAGTAGACTTTACTAGAGAATGAATACTACAAATAAAATAAATTACAATACAGATGGTAAAACTTCGATGAAAATAGCTAAGAACTACATTTGTTTTATTCATGACACCATCATTAGCTGGTTGCTATAGTGGTACTTTTTCTTTTGTTGATTTATATGGATATCATTACCTTTTTCATTCGTTTTTGCGTCTTCACCATTAAAAATGCATCAATGTTGTCCATTGTTATGACTATTTTACTAATCTTGAGTGAATATTTTCATATTACAGATTTTGAGAAAAATTCAAAAAAAAAAGAAAACTTTCTGCATAATATTTATGTGTCTTGTGCTTCCATGGATTTTATATAAGACTTCTCACATTCATGAAGAAATATTCATCATAATTACTGATTATAATATTGTATTTTTGTAATATTATTTAGACTGCTGAAGACTTTTATATTGACAATCTTATTTTATAGACAGGAGAGGAATTATTTCATGTAAAAATTAAGTCATTTTTAATTATGCGAAGCAAAGATTGATACGATATGATTAAAACTTTGAATACATTACCATATCAATCAATGTTGAATAAATTAACTCAAGAACTGCTTAACAAGCGTGACATTAAAAAAATAATTGCGTTTATTGGTTGTGTTTTTTTTTTGCCATGTTAGATCATAGAAAAACAAATGATTGTTTTCATTGACAAAATCTATTAAATTTCATTGAGCAAAATTTATATGTGTAATGATTGATATTTATTAATTAAAGAGAATAGATAAAACATTGAACGACCTTGCCCTACTTTACTTATTACTGAATGTCAATAAATGATAAAATAAAATTATACATGATTCTAATTTTACAAGTAACACATAATGCAAAAGTTTACGAAAATATGTCGTTTCATTTTTCATCGTCGGTAAGATATTTTGTATAAACAAAAAAAGATAATTCGTCAGAATCTACATTGAAAGCGATATCTAACAGAATGTTTAAAAAATTTCCATCATGTCTTCGCTGTCAATAACGATCACGTCTTTAAATGACACTAAAATAACCCACAATAATGGCGATAGAAAGAATCGATATTTCAGTGTTTTTCGAATATCTTCTATGCATTCCGTCGTATGTCGTTTCATTACATTCGCTCTAGGAACCCGATAGAAAATACGATGGTATTACTCGAAGATCAGTGCCTTCTGTCGCAGTCATTTGTGGGTTGCGCTATACGACTGTAGTACATAGGAATGTGACCGTTATTCAAAGGTAAGACATTCTAGAAACTCAGCAGTGCCACATATCCAAGATTTTGGAGATGCCACCACGTCTTCCGCGGGAGATGCCGCATCTCGCGTGAGAGATGCGGGCGTGGGTGTGGGGGATGCGCATATCTAAAGGAGATCTTACATCTCCAGTGGTGAATGACCATATCTCTCGACTGTGGGTGTCGTGTCTCCCGCTGGAGACGCGGCATCTCCCACGGGAGATGTGGTGGCATCTCCAAAATCTTGGATATGTGACACCACTCCCTCATTGATGATCATATTGAACTACAGAGGTGCAAAATCTTCCTTATGCGCCCCCGCGCGGGGGGGGGGGGGGGATTTTTTGAAAAACTCAAACAATAGGGGAATTTTTGGAAGATTCTGCACCTCTGTTGAACTGTTTCTATTTGATT